GCATGTGGCTCGCATATTGAAGTCTCACATGGAATGCTGATTGGCTCCTCGCGGCCAAAGTATCAAGATGTATCCTTCCTGCAAGACAAGACAAGTCAGAAAATAACCGATATATATATATATATATACATATACCAAGGCCCTCCCGGGTCGACTTACAAGTTATGGTGAAAGCACCAAGCATCAACTTTGTTCTCCTTCAAACAGAAAGCTTACAACTCGCCATGGTCGGCTCAAAGGATCTGGAGCCCTCGCACGCTCCCTTCTTCCCCAACGTCTTCCTGCACAACCAGTTCCGCGCGAAGCCGCAATGGCCGGCCCCCGGCACCAGTCTCGCAGGCAAAATAGCCATCATCACGGGCGGCAACTCGGGGCTCGGCTACGAAGCCGGACTGCAACTCCTCGACCTCTCCCTCTCCCGCCTGATTCTGGCCGTCCGGTCCATCGAGCGAGGCGAAGCCGCAGCAGCTAAGCTCCGGCGGCTGTACCCCCACTCCACCATCGATGTGTGGGAGCTCGAGATGAGCTCGTATGCCTCCATCCAGGCCTTCACCAAGCGCGTCGACGAGCAACTCCCCCGGCTGGACATGGCCATCCTCAACGCGGGCGTCATGCGCTTCCACTTCCAGCGCGTCACGAGCACCGGCCACGAGGAGATCATCCAGGTCAACTACCTGTCCACCATGCTCCTCGCCCTCCTCCTCCTCCCCATCCTCAAAGCCAAGCGCGCCGGCCCCTCGCCCGCCCGGCTGACCATCATCAGCGCGGCCCTCACCCTCAACGCCAAGTTCCCCGAGCGCGCCGCGACGCCGCTCCTCGCGTCCTTCGACGACCCGCGCACCTTCGACCGCCAGGAGCGCTACCAGACGTCCAAGCTGCTGGCGCACATGTTCATGTGGAACCTGGTGGATTACGTCTCGGCTGATGATGTTATTGTCAACCTCGCCGACCCTGCCTGGGTCAAAGGCACCGAGCTCGTGCGCGACGGCACCGGGCCTGTTGTTCGCGCTGCGTTCAAAGTCTTTGGTGCTACTACGGGTCGCACGCCCCGGCTTGGTGCGTCGTGTTATGTGGATGCTGTTATCAACAAGGGCAAGGAGGCGCATGGGTGTTTTTTGATGAGTTGGAGCATCCATCCGTGAGTTTTTCCGTTAGAGACTTTTTTTCTTTTTTGCTAACACGGAGGGGGGTGGTAGGTTTCCGGCCATGCTGTACACGCCTGAGGGCCGGGTCGTGACGCAAAAGGTGTGGGATGAGACGCTGGCGGAGCTGGAGTTTGCGGGCGTGCGTGGGATTTTGGACTCGATGAGGGCGACGCTTGAGGACTGAGGGGGGAGGGGGGTATATGTATTAGGTCCGGATCCGTGCTAAATAACACCCCCGTCCTGAGGAACAATAGCCCAGCAGCAGGAGTGCCAGCTCAACGACAACTAGACTCGCCAGTTCCGTTAACCTTGATTCGCCAGGCCATAAGTTCGACTCATGTTCGAGTAAAATCCGTCCGGGGATTTTGGTAACCACCACCTCCACCAGCCCGCCCCCAAAGGGGCCGTCTAGGGGGGTTGGGCCGGTGAGCTTTTGCCAGTTTACTCTTTCCCTTCCCCCCCCCCCCCCCCTTTTCTTTTCGTGTCTCTCTCTTCCGTGTTGTGGTATTTGTTGAACGGGGGATGTGGAAATGTGGTAGATACATCATATGTAATACCTAATGATCGTTGCAATGCTAAAAGTCTTTATGCCCGGCCGCTCCTTCCTCAGTGCTCACTAGCAATATCTCCGCATATGGGTATCCACAGTGCCGAAAGGGCCTATGTCAAGTAATGTTAGAACCTGAAATCAGGGCAGAGACCCTCCACTCCTGCCAGGTACCACACCTGAAGTAGTAGACTGTGTTTCTGTTGGGATTGGGGCACTCCTAGGCGCACAGACACACAGGGTGCCGCGCCTGCACAGACCAACGGGCCTATGCTCCAGCCCACCACCTATTTCCTCGCGCAGGTGCAAGCCTACTTCCTGGATCTCCATAGCAGATAGTAGCAATACAGCATATTGCCACTCCAACAGTCTCCCATCTGCACTACGTCGTGCATTCGACCTCTGACTCTCGTCGACCTCACGCAACAATCCTAGGCAACAGGGTATCATCAAAAGCCCACAACACCGCTTGGAACTGCACGCTGAACGCGCCCCCCGTCCACCACGTCGCCCGCCGGCCCTGCAGGGCGTACAGCTTCTGGATGAACCCTTGCCGGATCTCGGCAGCCGACACGTGCATGTGCATAGCACCATGGTCCGCCCACGCCTTAAACACAACTTTTGCACTCGCAGCTGGAATCGTCCCGGCCGCGACGAGCGCGCCGACGTTCTCACGCACCAGGCCCTGCGCCTCGGCCACGCCAAACGTCTCATTCCCAACCATCAGCACGCGGAAATTCCCCGAGCCGCCGCCCATGTGGTCAAAGCGCGCGTTGAAGGCGGGTGGCGCCGGCAGTGCGAGGTAGTTGGCCGGGGCGGCGGCCGCGGGCGTATTGACCAGGGATGTGTTGGCGGGCAGGGATGGGTGGTTGACGATGCCGGCGTGGACGCGCTGGTAGCTGAAGGCGGCGAGGACGGCGGCCTCGGTGGCGTCGAGGGCTAGGGACGCCGTGTTGGCTGCGGTGGGCTCGATAGCGAGGAGTAGCTTACGCGCGCGGATGAGCGTGTATGTGCCGTCGTTGGTGTGCTTGATCCACAGCGTGTGGCCGAGGGCGGTGCGGTTGGTTTGGGCGATGGTGCTGTTGTAGAGGATGTCGGGCCCGAGTCGGGATTGGATGGCCTCGTAGAGTTCGAGGTTTCGGCGCGAGGTGGGTGTGAAGGTGCTGCCGAGGCCGAGGAAGGCTCGGATCATCGGCGCCCCAAAGGCCCCCAGCACGTACATCGTCAACGCGTTCACCATGTCGCCTACCCCTAGCCCTGTCACCTCGAAGATCTGGTTCACGGCGGCGTGGATGTTGTGCTTCTTCACGAACTCGCCGAACGGGAGCAGCAGGTCGGCGGGGATGTCGTCGGGCGCCGGGAAGTTCCAGTACCCCGGCAGCAGGTAGTCCTCGTACGCCTGCGTGGCGTTGAGGAAATTCTGCAGGGCGGCGGTCCGGTCGGCGGCGGATGGGGACGTGAAGTTAACGGGCAGGCCCGTCTGGAAGTCGACAAATCGCGAGACTAGCGGCGTTCGCGGAGCGACACCGACCGTTACGTTCATTCGCTGGAAGAAGGCGCGGGCTGGGCCATAGTCGTTGAAGCTCTGTACCCCGAAGTCGAAGGGTGTCCCTGTGTCGGGATCGTCGAACGTCGAGACGTGGCCGCCCTGGAAGGGGGGTCAGTTCAATTGCCCCGGTCGACCCGAGTGGTGCTCATACCAGCAGCCCCCTTTTCTCGACGAGGACAATGCTTTTATTGTAGTCCTCCTTCAACCGGACAGCCGCATACGAACCACTTGCACCACCACCGATAATGACTACATCTCTTGTGATGATGCGAGTGCAGATGCTCTCGGGAAGCCATGCACCAGCCGTGAGGGAAGCGCCTGCCAGAAGGCCGGCCACAAGTCTGGCCGTGCTAGCCATGGTGAAGAGAGCGACGCGAGAGAGAGAGAAGGCCAATTGCCTTCGACCCGGGTGGGCTCCCTGCAGTATATATTAATACCAGCATTTCGGTTCTTGGGATTGAGCCTGGCTGCTCCCCAGCGGACCCAACCTGGATAGGGGGGATAATCTCGTGCGGCGGGACGGGGGCAGGGAGCTAGGTCTCGGACAGGGTTTCCCAGCTGGTTGCATGGTTAAATTATGGCCGCGATGTAGCGGAGGCCGTTTGCGGATTCGTACCACCTGCAGAGTTCAGCGTCGAACCCAGCCCTGTCGACACGCAGAGGATCGAGGCACAGCACTGACGATATGTGGCCCGTGGGATGTGCCCCTAGGATGTGCCCCTAGGATGCACATCCCTCTGGGTAGCTTAGCCTAGGTATTCGCTAATGTTTCCACTTTACCAGGGAAAGATAGGCCAGCCAATATGGTCTTGGCTGCGTCTCGAAACAGCTGTGCCGCCGGATTCAACCTTGCGCCCCAGTACCAATGAAGCAAGTTTCGTTAATGGCTTGTTCCGTAGTACGGGTGTAAGGTATTTCAAGTCCAAAGGTAAAGATATCTTAGTTTCATCTACCCCTCCTATTAGAGAGCTCACAATTCGCCCCTTGGTGATCCTTCGCTTCCCCAACTTCGGTTACTGCATCTCCCAAAGTAGCATTCTGCCTAAAAGAAGGTTGGTCTCCATCTTCACCTTCCATCCTGCAAGTACATCAATGGCTAGGACATATATAACCGCGGATGTCCAATCGGGGATATGCCGCGTCGAGAGATTCCACGAGATGTATCATGGGGGCCACAAGCTCCATTCCCTGTTCGGGCATGATGTCCCAGGACCGAGGGCGTGATGCATGCGACATGCAGCGCATGTGTGCATCACACAACTCGCTTCCATTTCTTGACTGAGCGTGGTGCAAGTTCTTCGATTGGCAGAGCCGAACGTCAGTCAGCCGAGACCGTATAAAAGATAGGGAAACCGCGCCCAAGGCGCATGTCGGATGCGCTGACGTGCCTCGGAGCCCACTGTCTATCACGTCAAATGTGATTTCAACGCTGCTGAATGGGCAGAGTTGGTGGCGATGTGGCACCTCTTCTCACCGCAGATAATAAACGGAGAGCTAAACGTCCAACTTACGACTCATACGACGTCAACAGTGCATAGCCCGCAACCTGAAGTTTTCGATACATAACTGCATTACACATTTGGAAAGTGCTTGATATAAGGCGCGTGTGCCGAGCAAAATAAGGGGGAACCTCATGGGGTTTCGATTTCGCATTGCCACCGCGCTAGGCTCTACAACTACGAAAAGAATGCCAATGAGTTGCCAAAAACAATTGTCAAACCACCGAAGGCCGGGGGAAATTCCAAAATAGCAAAAAGAATGCGTCAAGAGGGAATCGAGCCCCTCCCCCCCTCTCAACCTTGGAATGGTTGAATCCTAGCCGCTAGACCACAGGCGCTGAATGCTTTCGCTTGATGGGATTTGAGTCTGCTGAGCCTGACCATTGGGTCACCGATAGCCTCTGGCAGTCTAAGTGGAGTAAGATGGCAGCAAAATGGAGCCGAACAGACATATGTATCCATTTCAAAGACTAAACCTTGAGTAACATGTTCCGCGGTCTTTACGAGTCATGCGCCTTTTAGGGGGCTTGAATTGAGGGATGTAAGTTGCAAGGACTCAGTTGATCATTGATGAGAAAGGGTGCATAGTACAACAGATGATTGTGCAAGCAACAAGAAGCCGTGAATAGGTAACAGGAAGATATCATGATTGAAGCAATTAGAATAGCGGGTTATCACAGACAGAAATCCAAGTTGCTCCGTGGCTGGACACAACTGCGTTGGCCCCCTTTACTCTACGCCCGCTAAATCCGGGCTCCTAGGCTGGAATGGCGTCGGGGCCCCAAGCTAAAAACCAAATAAGACGCCCAGTTGAGCCTAACAAGCAACGCGACAAGGTAGAACACATTCAGTGCCAAGACCCAGACCATATCGAAACAAGAACGACCCTATGATGTTTTCCGACCACAGCTCCGAGACATGAAACAAGATTCGATCGAGTTGGCGAGAGTCGGTATCAAATTAGGAGAGGCAAAACCGGGGTGTCGAAGCACGGGTGCGCGGCACGGTTCGATCGGGAGTCGATCCAATCGAGTAATCCCTGCTCAACCTCTGTTGATGTCTCGGGCCAAAGACCGTCCGTCTCTCGTGCCATCAAGGTCACACTATGACGGGGACAACACTTTTTTATGAGAAGCGAGGCCTGCGGCTGAAGGCGGTGGCCAACATGTCGAAGACTTCATTACTATTAGACCCCGGCCGGTGGGCGGCATATTCCCGGACGGAGCAAGTGTCGTGCGCTTGAAGAGGAAAAAAAAAATGAATGTTAAACCGTCCCACGCCTCTTGGGCGACATGGCCTCCTCGTTCTCAACCTGAACCTCCTCATCCAGGACGCTTCGCGAGCTCAAGCCCTCTAGCGCCGAGCACAACCCATTCACGTCGCTATCCCCGCGACTCTGGACGCCGTCAACCACCCTCGCTGGCGCGACCAAACCCGACCGCGGAGACGCAACGCCGTCCGAGTCACTCGCCGACGACGTCTCGTCCCCGGGTGAATCTGTCATCATGGCCGGGACGCTCCCCCGCCTGTCGACGAAATGCGAAGATGCCCCGCCACCCTGTTGGGACATGGCCTCACCCCCCAGCGTCAGGTTCAGTCCGGCGGGGAGGTGCGACAGCGACTTCCTGATGCGATTCTTGCGGGCTCTGGCCGCCGACACGGTCCTCTTCTCGCGCTGATTCCGGACGCCTTTCAGCTCCCTCTCGAGCTGGCTGATTTGGCTCTCGAGGCTTTGGCCTGGGACGGGGTCAGTCTGTCGTCTCGGTGCCTAGGCACGGCACGAGAAGGAAAGAGGGGAATGGTACTCACGGTAGTTTTTCCTCAGTGTGTCGAGGTCCCGGCAGGCCTGCTGGAATCGCGCGGCCTCGCCGAGCTTGGTGCCGCAGCGAAACGGCCCGGGTTGGAGGGGTCCCCCGGGGAGCATGGGCGCTGCTGTCTTACTTTGCCAGAGTGTGGATGCCACCATGTTGTTTGTTTGCTTTGGGCGAATCTTTCGGAGGCTGAGTGAGGGATGGAAAGATGTCTACGATTTGCAATCACTCTCCCATTATACCATGGAGGGGAGGGACGGAGGGGGGTGGTGGCGGTTTAACAGCATGCTGAACCGGCAGCTGGGCCACTGCCTGATTGGACCGCGCATGTCCACCGTAAGGCGTACAACAGCTTTGCCCGAGCTGATCTTCGAAGAAAGGAAAACAGAGCGACCGAGCCAATAGTGCGCGCACATAGCCGCAAAGGAATCAGGCCTGGCTGGCTGGCATCAGTTGATGCCGGAGGAAGATCCTTGCGTCATGAGGACATTGGGCACAACATGTCTCAGTGACCTTTGCAAGGGATAAAAGCTTGACACCGGAGCGACGTTGCAGACTGCAACGCCATTCCAACTAATAAACGGTTAGTCCCCCGCGCCTGTGCAGTCGTCTGCCGGTGCAGCCGAAACTCCGGATCATGGTGACGAGCATACGGGGCGGTCGAGGCTAGGTGGTCATGTTAACCCCGTATGTCGTAAGCACCTTATTTTAGCGGTGCACTGACGTCGTCTAGCACTTATACGGCGTTTTTTCGACAGGGCGTTGCGGTAATTTGCATCCTTCATCCTTTGACGCAAGCCAGCAGCAAGGGCCAAGGGGCTCGAGCAGTGGACAATAAGGAAAGAAGTAGCGTGGAGGGGGGGGGCGACCGCGGCTGTCGCACAGAAACGACCTCGCTATGCTCTGTCCTCTTGACTAGGGCAGGAACGACAGAGCAGACCCCTGGCACGATCTGCGTTTGTCGTCGGATCACAAAGACTTCACAGCCGCCTCACGGCTGATGGGGGGGCCCATATTAATTACTGGGCTGCTAGTGTGTATACGCATACGCGAACTGCAGACCTAGGAGCCACACCGCCAACCACTCTAGCCCAATTTCCTGTCTGCCGCAACTTGCCAGCAGAACGTGTCCGGCGTGCCACTCTGCCAATGTGCCAACGTTGCCTACAGCCTGCGCGTTTGATTTCAATGTCAGGTTCGACACTGGCAATGACACTTTAACCGCCATCGCAGCCTTGGACGCCGCCCATTTCTCTGCTCCCAACGGCTTCTAGTATCGCGAATCCAACCAGCAGTCGACGACCAAATGATTTCCGATCAGACGCTCCATCGACCGGCTTGCTCGTATTACCAAGCAAATCCCGCTATCACCTAGAACTAGGTGCCGGCGCAAGATCCCGCCAGCGAGTCGCCACCTAAAACAATGCCACACGTCGACCGCAGCCTCTATTTTGTTATCATGAACCTCTCCGAGATGGTGTGAGCGTATTCTATCACGCTTTCAGCCTGAGCTGGATTCGGCGCAGGCTGCAGAAGCAATGTCTGGCTCTAGTCCCCCCTCGTTGGTGGGCCATTGCCGCCCCGGCTCTCGTCGAGAGCCAGTATCGGCCGTCCATGTAGCCGTTCATGTAACTGATGCATAAGTCACAGCACCGGCTTCTCGCAACGACACGAGCGACACCCGTGTAACCGCAGGCCCGACCGTAAATTCGACTACCGTATGCACCGGAGCGTATTGGGAGTGTCGGTGAGTCGATAAAGGCCGCAGAGCATCGGCCTCGGCCGGCGCCAACATGCTCTCAGATGCAGTCCACAGTCCGTATGATGTGAATCTCACTGGCATGGGGGGTTGAGTCGGTTTTCCTCCATTGAGTCAGAATATTTGTCAGCTCTTTGATGGATAGTAGTAGTAGTAGCTGCGGCCGCGTGATGACCGGGGTTATCTTGGTAAGACGAGCGTTATTCATCGACTTATACATCGCGGGGCATGTAGTACTGCCTATCGGGTTGCGAGAATCTTGCATGGGACAGGCTTTCCCGCATGCCAGCGATTTATCCGAGGCACGCGACTAGGACTACTATTTGAGGTTAAGCCATTCTGTGTCCTTCGTTACAAAACCCAGGCTGTCAGCACTTCACGTCGATTTATCAATCCTTTCATCTCCTCGACGTGTCATGAATCTCCAATTTCCTTCTTTCTTCAGACGTCATATTATTTTTCTCGGGATCTAGTCAAGACGGAAGATACTAGATTCTCCCCAAACTCTGCAGTGCCAAAAAAGTCTAAAACAGCATCAATCCCTACCCTGCGTTCTTGGCAAGTGCTAAGAAAATGGGACTTTACGTAGGTTTGGGAACTGTGCTGATTGTGACATGAATTCCCTTGCACGGTGGGAAGGGGCCATGATGGGCAAGTATCCCGATCCTCAAACACCGATTATTGAAGACGGCTCCAGATATGAAGCTACGTCACGACACACATCGCGAACTCACCCCCGACGACGCGCTTCCGCCAGAACCAATTCAATCACCGTCCAATGCACAATGCACAAAGTCCCATGCAAATAAACCCTCCGGTCCCAAATCCCACCCATCCCCATCATGAAGTTCCCCCCTCCAAACACAACCCCCACAGCACCACAACCAACTCTCACCGACACGCGACAAATCGCACGTAAGGGGGGCGTATTGGACAAAACCACCGTAGCGAAAAAGTGGCGTCCCATCACCGGCCAACGCCTCCCCTCTCGGCATAGCACCCCAACGCCAATGCACACCAGCCGCTGCACACAACCGGGGCAGGCAGACCCTTACGAACCCCCCAATCCGCGGCGCGCCTTGGCCTTGGGGGAGGGGGAATTAATCCACATGTCCACAACGCCAATCACCGATTCCTGCTGCAGCAATCCCGATTGACCCAGCGCCATCCCCCCCCCCCAAAAAAAAACCCCCCCCAAAAGAAACCGAGTCCCACCGCATCGTCTCGGGAACCCGAATGCAAGGTACACGAGCAAAATCAGATGGGTGCGTATCAGTAATCACTGGGCGAGTTCAGAGGGAGGGGGGCAACCACGTCTTTAGGTAATATCCTTTATAAAATGCTGAACCGCCCCGCGCGCGCGCAAGCGACCACCTTTCGAGTCTAATACAAACGAGATCCATTGCTCTCTCTCTCACCCAATCATGCCCCGTCATGCTTCATGAGACTAAGGAAAATAAGGGGCGCCCCCGGACCCAATCAGAGCCGTGGCCCCTGGAAATGTACATGTTTCATATCCAACTTCCCACCTCCATCCTCTACCAATGCATCCAAGTCAAATTTACTTGTTGGCGCGGTACTGAGTGAAGTAGGTGTTGATGCGCGTCTTCTGGCCGGCCGTGAACTCAGTGTAGCAAGTACTACCAACAATGTCAGCCACACTATTCTTTGCTCAGGATGGAATCAAACTCACTCATAAGAGTAATCCATAAAGTTGTGGATAGGGTCCAGACCGGCCTGGCTAGGGCACGAGTCGCGGCCGGTCGGG